ATTTAATTTCCATGTGTTATTGTACTTTTTGTGATTTACTTTGCCATTGATTTCCAGTTTCATTGCACTATGGTCAGATAGCATCCATGAGATGATCTCAGTTTCTCTAAGTTTACTTAAACATGTTTTGTGAGCCAATATATGGTATATTTTGAGAAACATCCCATCTGCAGCTGAATAGAATGTGTATTCTGATGTTTTGAGGTAGAGCACTCTATAGACACCTTCCAAGTCCATTTGCTCACAGTCTTGGTTTAATTTAAATACTATGTTGTTGATTTTTTTGGCCAGTTGATATACTTGTGAGAGTGGTACATTACAGTCCCATGTTACAATTGTGTTAATGTGTATTTGGTTTTTCATATTTATTTTATGTAGTTGGATGAACCTGTATTTTAAGCATAAATATTTATGATGGTTATCTCTTCTTAGGGTCTTCCCTTAGAAGTATGCAGTGACCTTCTTTTTCTCTTTTGATTAGTTTTAGCTTAAATTTTGCATTGTCTGAAAATAAAATAGCTATCCCTTCTTTTTTCTGGATTTCTGTGGCATGGAGAATTGTTTTCCATTCTTTTAGTTTATGAATTTCTTTTTGAATCAAATGTGTTTCTTGAATGCAGCACATTGTTGGATCTTGCTTCTTGATTCATTCTGCCAGTCTGTTTATTTTGACTGGTGAGTTGAGAGTAGATACATTTGATGGTTATAACTGATATGCATTGATTTCTTTTTTCATGGTGTTTTTCTGTTGTTTGTTCCCTGTCTTTCTCCTGCTTAATTGCTTGCCTGATTGGAAGCTTTTTTCTGTTGGTATTCACACATTTATGTATTTATGGTCTTCATTACCTCTTTCTGATATGTGTATCAGAGTATTCTGTAGAGCTTGTTTGGTGACCATAAATTTCTTCAGTTGTTCTTTGTCATGAAAGTATCTTATTTCTCCACCAATGTTGAAAAATTGTTTTTCAGGGTACATCAATCTAGGTTGAAAACTTTCCTTTATAATTAGAAATACCTCACTCCAAATTCTCCTTTATTTAACAGATTGCATTGAGAAGTCTGCTATAATTCTGATGGGCTTTCTTTTATAGATTAAATGTTTCTTTTCTCTAGTTACTTTTAATATTTTGTTTTTGTACTGAATTTCTAGAATCTTATTATATGCCTTGGTGCAGATTTACTTTGCTTATGACTACTTAGAATTCTATATGCTTCATTTATTTGTATCAATTTTTTTGTCCATGTTTAGAAAGTTTTCTGCAATTACTTCTGTGAAGAGATCTTTAATGGTTTTTGCTGTCTGCAGCTTTCTAACTGATCCCAATTTATCTTATATTGTACTTCTTTATTTCATTTTGCAGCTGTAGGGTTTACTTTTAGTGGTCTCTTGCTATTTTTGAGATACCTTTCTCTTCCTGGTTGCTGGTCACACTCCTGTCTTCTAGATTTCATGTTCTAGCCTCACATTCACTTAATCTGCTGTGTATACTTTTCATGGAGTTTTTAATCTCCTGCATTTTTGTTTGGATCTGTTTTATCGATTCCATTTCTTGTCCATGTTTGGCATTCATAGTGTCTATCATAAACAAACAGCTCCTCTGTTTTCTTATCTGTGTCTGTTTAATACATTTTCTTTTGACAATCATTTCCTTTTGCACCTTAGAGATTATTTTTGCTATGGCCTCTTCCATTTTTTTTTTTCACTTCTGCTGTTATCATGTCAAAGAGTTCCTTTTGTTGGCTTCAGAGTTCCTCTCTTTGTACTCTGGACTTGTCCTGGGCAGGCATTTGGGGTTGCATTTTGTTTCTTTGTCTTTTCATTTTCTATTTTGTTTTCTGTGCTGATAAATGTACATTTCTTATGTTAAATAGCCTTACCACTGGTGGTGAGGCTTTCCTAGGAGGTGTCTGTTCTTCTGGATGTCTTTTAGATGCATGTAGTTCTTGATCTTTATGTCTATCCTTAGAACCTACCTTCTGAATATACGCAGACTGAGGAGTTGATATCTATCTGACTTAGGGCCTATTCCTTTGGTACTTGACTATTATGATGGTTATGACCCCTTTCAATCACAGTGCTGTCAATACAGGGGGAAAAAACTGGTTATAGCATGTATGAAATTCTGGTTAAGATAGTTCAGATGGCAAAAACAACAGATATACCCTGGCTACTGACAGACTCTGGTAACTAATAACCTGATATCACTAACTTTAGGAGGAAGATTTGCAATAATATTATACAAACCAAATTATACCAGGAACTTGTATGCAGTGATTTTCCACTTAATGAAGTGATTTTACTTTGTTGGGAAAATTTAGGCAGATAGGGGTATGAGGAACAGATGAGTGAGGTCAAGTATAGTAGGAGCAAGGTCTGAGGGCACAAAATGATCACCATGGTTTCAGTAATTATAGGACACAGAAGGGAAGGACTGTAGGAGAAGGCCTAGGAGTTTTGAAGTGAGCCAGAAAGGAAAGAGACAGTGTTTACTCACATGAACTTATCATAAAGTGAAGCAAGATTACATACCTATACTATTCAAATAACGGAACTTAACCAAAAAAAAAAGGGGGGGGGATACAGATGAATGTCCGTTTTGTACCTGTGTATTCAAAGTGGTTAGGATAGATATACAGTTACATTCTCTTAATGAATAGAGGGATTTGTTCTAATGGTGTTTGTAAATAGGATATCATGTCTGCATCTTGTACAGCAATTAACCACTAGGAAGAATGTATGCATTATGTTAATTATTGGGACTGTCCTACCAATTTGATTTGAAACTGTCTCGTTGCTATTTGTTTCTCAATAAAATTATGAAAAAATAAATAAATAAGTAAATAAAGTGAAGCAAGATAGTTGACAAAAGAAGAAACAGGATGAGTAGAATAAAACAAAAAGAAAGGTTGGAGATCTACATTGAGAGTGAAAAAAGAAGGAAGAAAAGAAAGATGAAACTAAAAGAAGGAAAAATATGAAACAAAAATATCCTTACACTCTGGAAAAAAAAACCCTCAGAATGAAAAACAAAATAACACCAAGAGAACACAAGAAAGGGAAAATAAATAACAAAAACAAACAAAATGAAAACAAAACACTAATCCAGTCAAACCCCAAGAGGGAAACAAAATTGAGAAAAATGAAAATAGTGGAAGCCCTCTAATATCTATAGTTCTGTAATAGATCCATATCTGATCTCAGAAATGTGTAGTCTGGTCAAGATTACAGGTGGAATTTTGCTGGTTTTAGGTCTAATCTTTGTTTCTGGATGTGGATGGCATTTGTTTTCTGAGACTGGAGTTTTCTCCAGTTGTTTACAAAACAAAAAGGAAAAGAAAGAGAGAAAATACAAGGAAAGAAACTGGGTGGTCCTATCTGCCTGTTTCTATCCTGCCTCTCTCTGTGCCCAAGCACAGCACACTTCTCCTATTTGCCTCACACCGTTGCCATCGCATGAGACATTTCCACACCCGTTTCAGCCTGTCCCTCATGTATAACTGCCAGGGTCCTGCTGTGTCACTGGCCTGCCTGCAGGACTCCACGCCCTGAGTCCCGTCAGTGCTAGGAGAGAGGGGCAGATCTCAGACTTCTCTCTCCAGCCACGCTCCAGTCCCTGGTCACTGCAGGAAGGAAAGAGCCAAACTCAGAAGTTGCTCACGGTCACACCATCCCACAGAAAAAGCTATATTTCTGCATAACTCTTCTGTAGATTTATTATTTCAAAACACATATTTATTGTTTAGTTCTAATATTATAGAAATTAATCATTTTGAAGTGAAAAGTCCCTTTATCTACATACGAGCCTAACTCTACCCCTAGAGATAATTAATAGTAATAATCTGTGTATAGTCTCAGTTTTTCCTGGTTATATACTAATACATATTTGTATTCTAGCATGATCACATTATCCAGACCATTATCACAAGTAGCTTTCATTTACTTAAAAATACATCTTCAGTGTCTGTATCAACATATTTAGTTCGTTTTCATTCCCCACAGCTGCCAAGAGCAGGAAACCATGATGCATTTGGAGTTCTCTGGCATCTACTCACAAAGCCATGTAGAATTTAGATGTAACTGGAAAAGGCCCTTTGGCTGATCCTTACACTGCCAACCACTGAGCCTTTCTCCAGGAATGCCAGGAGAGGGACTCAAAGATCCTGTCAGCCATCCTGGGGAGACCAGAATTCTCTCAGCGCAGCAAGAAGGACTAGCTGAGTGAAGAGAACGCATCCATGCAATGGTTAATCCTGAGGATCACAGAAACATTACAGATGCAACCCCCTTGAAGCGATGTTCCTCTTAGAGAATAAAAGTCAGGTCACACACAAGCCACTTGAAACAGGAAGGAAAATGTGTTAAAGGATGTTGGGATTGAGCTAAGATAAAAAAAGGTGCCACCACCAGCCGTTCACCCCTACTTCACTTTTACTACTTCCAAATCCGCTCCTTACCACTCAGATATTTACTCTTGAGGTGAATAAATCCTCTTTTATCTTTTTTATGCTTTCATTAGCTGCTCTTTATCTTTTTTGCTTACAAAAGGGAAACTATTTTAAGACAAATGTCAATATGTCAGACATGAAGTACCCATTCCCATGGAATGCAGTGTATAATTACATGTTCTATTGTAAACGTGTAATAGTATTTAATTGATGCACCACGCTTTCACCAGGTAAAAAGACTACTCTGTGCAGAAATCCCAGTGTATTGAGGTCTTTACTAAACCATAGAAAAAGTGGTTTGCCAATGCAAAAATATTAGGGAATTTTTAACATAAAAAGGTACAACCTTGTTTGGCAAGAAAATAAGTGACAGGTCTATCCCAACTAGTAGCAGCTCATTATGGGGGTTCCAGTAGTTCTAGATGAGACTGGAGACCAAGGTATGTTCATTTGTGCTTCCAAAACAAGTTCAACTTAAGCTTTCAGAGATGCAGTTCTGAGAAATCAAAATTCCTAGTCAACTTACGGCTGTCTTCTCCACCTGTGTCTTTCAGATACCATTGTCCTTATCGCATCCATAGCAGTTGTTTCTGCAAAAACTCAGGGTAACATTTTTGCCACGTCCGCACTCAGAAGTCTTCGTTTCCTACAGATCCTCCGCATGGTGCGCATGGACCGAAGGGGAGGCACTTGGAAGCTGCTAGGTTCAGTGGTCTATGCTCACAGCAAGGTACGCTTTGCCTTCTGAGTTTCTGAGCAAAATGTGTGCCACGTTTCCACGGTTGCTATCGTGTTTAATAAACTCAGCCATTTCAGAAACTGGCTGAAGCTATTTTTGGACATAGTATGTACTGGAATTTTAAAATCATAACTATATCCATTCCATGTTAGAATGGAATCATTCTTAATTTTTTTTCCGTTTTTTTCAAAGGTTTTTTTTTTCACCTCTAATGATTTTCCATTCTTTTTATATCTAGGAATTAATCACAGCTTGGTACATAGGATTTCTGGTTCTTATATTTTCATCCTTCCTTGTCTATCTGGTGGAAAAGGATGCCAATAAAGAGTTTTCTACATACGCAGATGCTCTCTGGTGGGGTACAGTAAGTACAAAATTTGTTTTGTTTATTGGATATTGTGCAGTGTTTCCTTTGACCATAATGCAATAGCTTCAGTGGTTGATCTCAATGCAAGCATTAATTTCCAAAAGGAACACGGGAAAATACACACTACTCGGAATTGTCTGAGGAGTTGCTGGGTCTCTTCAATCCAGTAAAGCCAAGTTCTCTCATAAATCATCATGTATATTTCTTGAGTGCTAGGTTGATATATTGCTGTCTTAAATGTAAGGAAAATAGTAAATGTTTCCTTGTTTTGTGAAGTACAGATTTGAGTTACTAACTGTTGACTGATTGCTCGTCAAAAGCTCATTAACAAGACCTGAAACTCCTGCGGGGGACAAGGAAAGTTTAGCAGGGCTGTGTTGAGCAGAACTAGATATATTTGTTGGCTGTGTAGTAGCAACAAAATAAGAAGAAGAAAAGGAATGAAAAACAGAAATGCAGGCTGGGGAGACAGCTCAGCGGACTAAGTGCCACCGTGGCAGGCTCAAGGACTCCAAGAGCAATGTGCCAGCCCCAAAAGCAGACATTGTGGTACACATCTGTAATCCCAGCACTGGGGAGGGCGACACAGGAGGACACGATGAGCCTGAACTGTATAGTGAGACTCTGTATCACATAAATAAATAATTTTAAACAACAAAAATAGCCATGCCAGCCTCACCCCCCCAGGACACACTGAGATTGCGATTGAGACTGGGCACAGTGGTGTGCCCCTATAATCCCAGCTCTTGGGAGGCTGAATACAGGTGGATCACTACAAGTTCAGTTTATTTAGTGAGACCCTGTAGACCATGTAGACCCTTACTAAAAAAAATACCAAAACTAAAACCAACCAGAAATGCATTTATTAAAGATGAGGGCCTTTGAAAAGTTATCCAACTAAATGTCTACAAGATCGTGACTTTGGCCACAAAACACTCTTCTAGTTTCATAACTTGGTCTCCACGTCCTCTTCCTTACCCACGAGCAACAAAGGATGTTCTAAAAGGAAAAGAGTGGGAGACAGCGAGAACGGTCATATGATATTCTGCTTTGAAAGCTGAGGTTTGAGCCAAAGGCTTTCACCCTGAGAAGTCCTTTTTAGGGTTTTTTGTTTTGTTTGTTTTGTTTTTGTTTTTGTTTTAATTTTGAAACAAGGTCTTGTTAAGTCACAAAATTGCCCAGCCTGGCTTCATTTTGCAATCCTCCTGCTTTGGCCTGCTAGAGTTCTGGCCTTAGAAGGGTGCACTGACATGATCAGCTCAAGGCGTTAGATGTGCAGAGCAAAAGAACGGCTGTTTCTCCTGCTGGGATGAATGTGTCAGTGGAGAAAACAGGAGCAGGAAGGCGATCTTTCATCGCAGACCTTAAAGCAACAACAGGAATCCAACGTTAGCTTCTGCTTCTCTTCGATCCTTTTAATGTATTTCTGTTCCTGGACCACTCGGGCGTGTGTTTGCCCACTGAGATGCAGTTGATGGTGGGTTCAGCCCCACGCTCTTTGTTCTTTCTTTCTTTCTTTCTTTCTTTTTTTTAATGTATTTAGTACAGGGTCTACAGAGTCTCACTACACAGATCAGACTCATAGTGATGCTCCTGTTTTCAGCCTCCCAAGCGCTGGGATTACATTCGCGCACCACCACGCCCAGTCTCAATTGCCATGTCAGTGGGGGAGGAGAACACGGCATGCCAGGGATTGAACCTTGGTCCCTGTACTCTGCCTAAGCAGGCGCTTTAGTCTGCTGAGCTATCTGGCTGGCCTGCTCCTTGTTCTTCAGTGCATGCAGCTTCTTTTCCTCTGATTACTGACAAGCACTGCTGTATCGTGCATTAGGCAGCATGTGGGAGACGCTTAATTTACCTCTGTCTTAGTCACCAGCTGGATTCTTCTTCCAGCACAGCTCACAGGGCAGGTTGTCAAAGGTCGCCTCTGTGATTTTCAGGAAAACAACAGCTTCCAAGGTTTCCATGTTTTGACTAATGAGTAGCCAATATTTAACAGGTTTCTGAATGGCCTAATTATGTTACCTCTTTTTCCAAAAGGTTTCCTTGACATGAGAGCAAAAATCTTCTGGTGTGTCAAGCTTCTAGGAATAAAAAGAGACTGTGTTTGCCCATTGTGGTATTGTTGATACCAAGTGACTCATTAATGAGGTTTTCTGGAGCCCCAAAATAAAACACAAAATGTAAACAAGAGGGGTTATTATTTCTAACCGTTATTAAAAAAAAAAAAAAAAAACCATACTGGGTCTTAGTGTTAACACTAAATAAGTGTTAAAATGGGTTTAGACCACTATGCCTTTTATCATTCAGCTCTAAAGACCTTCATGACATATTCGTCTAGATAATTTTTAGGTAAAATTGTCCATGCTATCTATAATGGGTGACTTAAGGCTTGTGGAAATATGCAGACTAAGTAAGGAAATGAAAGCACCCCAATGGGGTTATTTCTACGAAATCTAAGTGCTAGACTTCAATGAAGGAAAGGAAATCTCAATTAGTAAAAGAGCCAAAACCCACAATTTTTTAAGGAAAAAATGCAGTTTGTGTACAGATCCAGTAGCCTGATGGATTCCAAGAGTGAAAGATTGAATTCATCACCTGTCCTTTGCTAAGACAAAATACTCAATGCCCGTGATTTAAGGGATTAACAGTTGATTTTGGGGGTTGATGTGATCCACACCTCTCAAAACCAATAACAATTTAAAGAACTTCAACCCTGAAAACCATTCCATACTGGAGAATGAAGGTAGTTCTCTAATTAATCGAGACAATAAATAAGGGGCCTGGTACCCAGACCACAGCCGGCACCCAAAGATGGTGGCTACTGTTGGTGTAGGCACTGCTGCTGTAGACTGAGGAATCTTCGGAACAGAAGAGAACTACATGCTTCATCTCAGGCCCACAATATAAGCACAGAAAGAGCTTGGGAATTGGAGGTTGAGATAAAAATTTGATTCAAGTGTGACACTACAACTAGAGGGACAACATGGCTGACAGTGGGGGAAAAGGGGCAGGGGAAGGTGGCTCTAATAGCCAAGTCCCTAGCAGCTCTGGGAAAGGGAACCTTTGATTGTGATGGTGAGCTCCATTCAGTGTTACTTTCTGGGTTGGTTTTTTTCCCCTCCTTTTAATTGTCTCAGATTTATTCTGAAAATTGAGGAATAGATGTTCCGGAACATATTCTCTGTTACTGTCTCCTTCCTCCCCATTGATACTTTTTCTCCTCTTGACCTGTTTAGATTCATTCAGAAATAGTGTGAGATTCGGTATGCCTGTAGTAATTTTTTCTGGTAATGACTTGTTCTCAAAGGCCAGGTGTTTGCTGTTTGTATTTATTGCCACTCTTGTGGTGAAAATTGGGTCATGGGTGTAAAGAAAAGCTGTACACAGTTCAGTGGAATAAGCACTTCCCTGGCAAGCACAAGGGCCTGAGTTCAATCCCCAGTTCCACCAAGGATAAAAAGTTGCACACAGCAGCAGATCATATGAACCTACTCACACATACACATTTGAATGCAAACACCACGCACTTGAAATGATCACTTTAGGCCCATGGAACATTTTTATATGAACCATATTTAGTCCCAGAGTTGATGCCAAAAGCTTACAACCTTTCACAAACCCAACCATAGAAAGATTTTGGTGTAACGGAGTATGCAATGTACACAACACACATCCTAAATATATTCTGGGTTTTATCCCCTACCATAAGACATTTGTGAAACAAACAAAGAAACCCTTGCCCTTGCTCATACACATTATCCTTCTGAAAATCAATTCTCTTCACTTTGGGTTCACAGTAGAAAACATCATCTGAACATCTGACAAGCTGTTGTTTTCTAACCTAAGCCTGGTGCACTATGTCCATCATTGTCCCTTCCTATTGCCTGAAGCTGTGAGAGCCTCCCTCGGACACAGGACACTGAAGACACCAGCTGGTAGCTCTTCCAGAATATTCTCGGCCCCAAGCAAGCACACAGATCCCAGCCAATACCCCAAAGCAATCCTAGTGGTTATAAGCATTTATAAGTCTCATGCATGCGTTTATGAAGCATATCACTCATAAGCACATTTAGAAAACTTCTTCCTAAGAAGTCTGTTTCTTTAATAATGTCATCTCACACAAGGCTCTGGACACTTTTTCTCAGTTACTCTTATTCCAGAAGCTTGGACACATGTTGTTTTGAAAAAGAAGAAGAGGCCTGGAAAGCAGCGCAAACATTATGACTAATGGACATGTGATATTAAGCAATTATTCAGTATCTAAGAAGTGGAGGTGTGATTACAGCACATGTGCTCAGACTTGAGCAACACACAACTGCTCTGTGTACGAAACGAGGCTAGAAGGCATAGAAGTGGTTCATGGCGCACTAGCAAAGGCCAATCACTACTACTTCTCCACCTCTGGCCACACGCCTGGCAGAGCAGTCTAGGGTGGGAATGCTCTGAGCCTCCCACCCAGCACAACTCACATGACGCAGTTCCGCAGCCTCAGCAGATTCTGATGTTTGAGGTAGTTCAAGGTGATCAGATTTCAAAACTGGTAGACACCACCAGCACCTAGTGTCTAAGACGAAGAGCCAAGAAGTAGCTTTGAGAAAAGAAGACAGAGACTGGGGAAGAGAGAGTCAGTGGAGAAAGGGCAGGAAGGGGAAGGCAAGTGAAGGGAAGGAGGAGATTGTTGACACCATGGCAACAAAAGCATCCTTCCTCAAGAGATTCTTGGATGGGGAAATACCAACGGTATCATCTTCACTTGTTCATATGCATGCGTTAGCTACAAGCTGACATTGATAATTATATCTTCATAATTAGGCCAGTAAATGCTAGATTTGTTACCTTAAAAACAGAGGGAAAATTTTTTATCTTCTACTCTAGAATTAATGTTGTTGTTGCAGGACAGGGGCTTTAGCTGAACCAGTGTCCAAATTTATAATCACACCATAGCATCTCAGCATCCCACTTAAAAAAAAAAAATCAAGAAACCTTAGACCACA